AAATGTCTTGAAATGTTTTTAATTTTCTTGATTTTGACAAGATGTATTACTTTTATGACATTTTGTTGAGCCGGATTGGATTGATTGTAGTATATTACCATCAGAAGCCGCTGTTATTGTTACGGTTAATAAATCTGTTGAATAATGCAGTTATCCGTTGCCTCTTCACGAAAATTTGATATAAGATTAGGTGTGGATGGAGGAGACTGATGTTGTGACAGAAAAATGGTATTTTTTGCTCAACAAAATGTCATACAAGTAATACACTTGTCAAAATCAAGAAAACTATCTAAGATACTGCCCCATGTTCAAATACAAATAATGAAGATTCTTTGTTTGATCAAACCGATCTGTCCAATCTTGGTGACGATAGCTCACGGCATGCAGTTATTCGGCAACAAGCAGCTGTTTCTTATTTGCTGAATGCACAAAAACAAATCATTGCACATAATACTCATGTGAAAAATTTGTCGGCTCAACAAAATGTCATAAAAGTAATACATCTTGTCAAAATCAAGAAAATTAAAAACATTTCAAGACATTTCTCAGTTTTGTACTGGTATTCTTTTTGGTTTAGAATTGGGTTTTCTTGTTAAAAGATTTAAAATTGAGAAGAAAATCTGTTGACATGAAACTGCAGCCGTTTCGTGTTTTAACGCATTAATAATTCTACTAGCATACCGATATGCTATAGGACAACATGAACCTGAGTTTGGCCTAGTTCAATCCGAGATTGATCTAAGTTTGGCCTGAAGTAAAATGAATCTGACTTTTGCCTGGTTCAATCTGAGATTGGCCTGAAATTTTCTTTTTAACCTGACTTCAGACTAGTTCAAACCAAGATCTTAGTTTGGACTAGAAAAAAGCTAGGCGAAAGTGAGATCGGAGTTTGGACTAGGTCAAACTAAGATCTTAATTTCGCCTAGGCCAATCCTGGATTGGCCTGAATCGGGGTTTGACGCTGACATATACGTATATGTTCTTTCTGTTATACGACAGTTCCATATGCTTTTTCTCAGACAGATTAAACTGTACTCAGTTTTCTTTACAATCCAGTTACCGGGTGAATAAATTCACTGATGGGAATTTTGACAGCTTCCCTACGAGTGATGATCATATTTCCACTATGCACATTGAACAGAAAGCGCTGAAAACTATACAAAATATTAAATGAGCTTTGTCACTCATCTTTACGCAATCAAATCTTGTGATTCTGTTCTATTTCACAGAAAGAAGTTTTCAGAAATTAAAAAGTTTTGACGTACATTGTTAGTTTCTACGTACACGGTTCGTACATTTCTTTTATTATAAATAATAAACGTTGTTATTTACTTTGAGTTTTTTCATATATTGGAACTATGTCTGATCTTATTTTTTCTCAATTTTGCAACTTTACAGTTGGATCGTTACTTAACTTTATTAATACTTTTATTTGGTACGTCTGACAATATTCGAAATTAACTCTTATTTGCCCAACGTTCTCTTAGAACCAATCTATGCTTAATTTACTTTCCTTCGTCAAGCATTTCAAATTTATTGGCCATTTATTAGGAGAAAAGAAACGAGCTATAGAACGGTAAGTGTATTACATCTTGTCTACGCGATTTTAACTAGCGCTCATTTAGAAAATTAATTTATAGAGTTACCGCATAACAACTGCTGTGCTTTTCGAAGTACGACATACCTGGATATTTTTTGCGATGAATATACTGGTAAATCCAATAAAGTGTTTCTATTTAAGGGTAGTGTGAGGTCAAGGTAAAGCATTATCTCGTCGTTTGAGAGATATATGTTAATATTTACTGCGTTCAGACAACAAATTTCACACAATATGTTAGTATTGGAGACAAATAGGGAAGAACTTCAGTTTGTAAGTTTCAATGTATGAGTTCAAAGCTGAATCAGAAATAGTAATCAACCTTTCACGAGACTGATTTCATAACAATTGAAAATGAAACTATAGAGTTCTTTACTTCGTACTTGGTATTAATATTTAGTAATTTCAAATGAACCACAGATGTTTTTATGATTCACCGGCGAGGCCATTTCCTTGCCAGAGACATCAGGTGTCTAATATTTCAGGAAGATTTAATTCAATATAGTTTATTTCGACTCTCATATAATTTGGATATTCAATCATTCTCAGAAAAATGATGATTCCATATCAACAAATTAACATGTATCAATAGTTTTATGAGTTTTCGAGTGCACCGTTCTCGATATGCTTTTTGCGACAAATCTCTTCATGACTACAAAAAGAACTACGTCCAGATAAGATCTGCTCGTTTGAAAATGATGACTTATCATGTGTATATTAGTTGTTTTTACGTTTTTAAATACATAGTCGTCTTGCTATAAGTCATGTATTATGGGCAGGAGGAAACATAACCGTCTAGTTTGCTTCGCACTAGACTGGAATCACAGTTAGAGAAGATTCGGTGAAGTAGACACAGATTATTTCATATCTCTGCAGAATTGTAAGTAATGCCTCCTCAGCAGAACTATCTGGATTCCTTTGCCGGTCTAGCGATCGATTTAGACGATCATAGATCTTCTATGGCTGAGTTGAACGAACTTTTCAATAGAACTGTCTTCGAAGGCGTTTGAGGTTGTTGAACTCTTCTATGAGCATACTCATATTTTTGTATAGACATTTTCTTCTGTGGAGCCAAATTAGATAATACTGTTTCAGGTAAAACTATGAGCAAACGGGTGTCAGCATCATGCAGAAATGTAAACAATCGCATTAAAAAGCTCAATTTATTTCAATCCTATCCTTCATCGCAAAATCAACATATCATAGAAAATCAACTACTTTCCACACGCTTGTTTGTTGTTCTTCTGGTAGCATCCATACTAATCCTAGTCATTTACACCTCCTTAATAAACGTGACGATAAGAGTTACTGTTCAATCACCATCATTATCAACATACAATGAACTGTATGAGAAATATTCAAAAACCATTAGTTGTTCATGTAAAACAATCTCAATTCCATATCAATATTTTATTAGTATGTCTCCCGTCTACCACCAACTATGTTTAAGTGAATTTGTTCAACCAAACTGGGTCAATAGTGGAGGAATAAACTGGATAAGAAGTGGAGACGACATCTCAGCCCAGGCTGATTTTCGATGGTGGGCAAGTGCAGTGTTCAAAATGCTATCAATGTTTTGCGAATTTTCTCAGCAAGCCATCGGAATTGGACTCGCTGACTTCTATTCAACCACTTATCTTACACCTAAACTACAGTCAATACCAATATTTGAATCTGAAACGAATGAAAACATAAATCTTTTTATAGCAATGACAAGAAATACATTTCAACGATCAATGAACATCATACGTAATCTTACTCAAAGTGATGCTATTCAATCCGGTTTGTTGACAAACTATTATTTGTTAATCGATTCTTTTACTGATAACGGAATAACCAAGATTTCAATAGATAGTTACAATCAGCATTACGGCACATGTTCTTGCCGCAAACTGCCCACTTGCACCTCGCCAGCAACTATCTATAATATTTCAGGGACACAAATGGCTAATGTCATTTTTCAACCACGCGGCCTATTAGTGGGTTGTTATGTTCTTGAAGCCTTACTACAGTCCAATTTAGCCTGTATGTATGACCAGTTATGTGTAAACACTTTACAATCATATATAAGTACAATTAATACTAGGGCACTAAATACGTCAGCATTTAGTCGGTATCATCCAAATTCGACTCTAAACGAGATCCTTGCTCTCCTGATGGTAGAAGATTGGAACTCAAATGTCTCTTTCCCATCTTATTATAAACAGTGTGCTCCTCAAGAATGTACATACACATATTCCGCGCAAAATAATGTCGTTTATATTGTAACAACTATCATTGGATTACTCGGTGGTCTGACAAAAGTGTTGCAGGTTATTATTCCATCAATAGTGAAATTTGTGAGGGAAAAAAAGCGACCTATAGAAGAAGTTGCAGGTATGGTATCCATCTTTTTGGAGACACCTTGAAAGCAAATCATGACGCACTTATTTCTGAAAAGGTGTTACAGGTTATTATAGTTGAATTTGTGAGGAAAGACCAGCGCAGCGCTGTGCAGCGCAAAGTTAGGATGAATAAATAAATATAAATATTTCTAATTTATGTAACGTTTCGTTCAGCTGTTGAACATACTATTTCTGTGTTATGTAATGAAACTGTATATTCCATGAGCAACGAGAGGACCTTGAGTTATTCCGTGACATGATCTCTGCATAAACCACGAATTTTACGCGAGTTCCACACCTGGAAATACACGAGAATGAAAATTATACAAAATGGAGGGCATCCATAGCATTAGCGACGGTCGTGTAAGTCTTTTCTTCATAGTTTCCTGATCTATATAAATTTTCAGATAATAACTTCGGGAAAGTTTACCAGAAGGTCAAGCAATATGTGAAAACGTTTAATATAATAAAATCATATCCACCTCCAACCGACCCTCACGGCATACGAAATCAGTTAATATCAACTCGTCTGTTTGTGGTTTGTCTATTAGCATTATTATTTGTACTCACCGTTTACACGGCGTTGATTGATGTTACAGTAACGCAAACGGTTGCTTTACCATCATTGGAGCAATATGAGAAACTGTACGAAAACTATCCCTTAGCACTCTCATGTCAATGTAAGACAATATCAGTTGACTATAGCGAAATTATGAGCTTCGATCCAACATTTCATCAGTATTGCACCAGCGATTTCGTGTCAGAAAACTGGATAAATTATTCGAATAGTCATGGTCACGTGTTATTTAACACCTACGATTACCGATGGACGGGTCCAGTGTTCTTTCAGTTCTTGAGAGGTCTATGTCAACTATCACATGTGATGATTAACGATGATCTTGCTGTTTTTAATTCAAGTCAATACATTACAGCTACTGTTCAACTAAAGCATTTATTTAACGATCAAACACAGTCACTTATTGATAATTTCATTTTAACTACCACACAGACCTTTTTACAATCTATGAATATAGTTAAATATATAAATGATGCTAATTTGCTCGTTTCTGGCCTCGGCACAAATTTTTATTTAGGTTTCTCGCCAAGAGGAAAAGTATTCTGGAATTCAACCCAGTTTTATTCGGACTTTCCTGGTAACAACTGTTCCTGTTTTTATTCAAATGACTGTTTAATGCCGTCGGCTGTCTACAACGGTTCGGTTTATAATTTAACTGAAGTTTTTGTTATGCCTGGTATTGAACTTGGATGTCTAATCAGCTCTTCGACGATTCAATCAAATTTGGAATGTTTTTATAATCAGTCATGTATTGATATATCAAAAACATTTATGCAATCTATCTATTCTTTGAATGTTACAGCAATGAATTCGTCCGCATCTAGTCGGTATCATCCAAATTCGACTCTAAACGAGATCCTTGCTCTCCTGATGGTAGAAGATTGGAACTCAAATGCCTCTTTCCCATCTTACTATAAACAGTGTGCTCCTCAAGAATGTACATACACATATTCCGCGCAAAATAGTGTCGTTTATATTGCAACAACTATCATTGGATTACTCGGTGGTCTGACAAAAGTGTTGCAGGTTATTATTCCATCAATAGTGAAATTTGTGAGGGAAAAAAAGCGACCTATAGAAGAAGTTGCAGGTATGGTATCCATCTTTTAGGAGACATCGTGAAAGCAAATTTCGACATACTTATTTTGTTTTAGAACCATTTTCACTCATTGTAAGACATAACTAAGTTTAAGAGAGGTTTTTCTAGGGTTTACATTTGTCGACTAAAAAGTGTTTATATCTCATGCAATCACGAAACTTTCAATTGTGCCTGTTGTTGTCGGTAGAGGTGTTAGCCGATTATTTTATCGGCGTTAGCGTATCAAATTGAAAACTTTATTGGCGGCGACGGCGAAAAACTAAAAAAACGTTTTCCGCCTTTGTCGGCGACGGCGTGAAAATTTAAAAACGTTATAATTTTCAATAAATCTTCTTCGAAGGAGTTCTGAAAAGGCTTCGGATCGGCGGTGACTGTGAAAAACTTCAAAAACAAATTCTGTCAATGGCGGCGGCGTCAACGGCACGGCTAACACTTCTAGTTGTCGGTCAAGTTTTTCACATCGCTGATTGATTTTTGCTCAATTTTAGGACCAACACCAGTACAATCAAAATTTCGCCTCTACTACGAAAAAGTCGAACATAAGATTAAGACAGTGAATATGTTTGCTCGGAAATTAACCACTGATGAAGATGAATTGAAGGTCGAAGTAACAGCCACACAGTTGACAATCATTCTTTTGATCGTTTCGCTGTTCGTACTTGTGATTTATACGGCAAGACTGAGCTTTACCACAACGATGTACGTGTCGAAGCCTACTCTATCAGTATACAATGATCTCTATCGAAAATACAAGACTTTACTGGTTTGTCGATGTTCTACCATTGCCATCTCCTATGGAAATTTTATTAAAATCAAACCAAACCGACATCAAGTCTGTCAAAGTACTTTTGTGATGCAATTATGGATAACGTATCTTAAAGCTCGAAAACAGATCAATTATCAACCCGATCAAGATTTCCAATTAACAGGTGGATATCAATTTGACATGTTATCTAAACTGTGCAGTCTAACTGATGTAACTATTACTGCTGGTCTAATTAAGTTCAATTCAACTGACCACATTACAACGGATGTTCAACCTTGGCAGTCGTTCATCAATCAAACAGAATCGATAATTAATGCATTTACTTCAACAACGTCAAACAGCTTTTATGATTTCCTCAGAATTATCCGAGGTACAACTGAAGGAAATGTGTTGCTGTCCGCACTATCAATAAGTCAAAAAATTAACATTACGACCGACAATCTAATCACAGTCGATTATCAAACATATAATGGTTGTTTATGTCAGAACACTGCGACATGTACTCAACCATCTGCAATTTACTCAAATTCATCCTCATTTGTATTTTCTATCCAGGGTTGGCTCACGGGCTGTTCAATCCTGGAATCTCTCTTACAGTCCGACCTTTCGTTCTTCTATAATCAGACCAATGTTCAACTCTTAATATCATACTTGGCAGGCTCTGACTCAGTAACAAACATAACAGCATTAGATTCATCTGTACCTAGCCGTTTTAACGAGTATTCGACAATCGATCAAATGTTGAAAGCGATGTTCGTTGAACAATGGAACGCGAATGCTTCGTACGAATTGTATTATGATCAATGTGCACCGAGTGAATGCAGTTATACTCTAAATGTACAAAGTAGTATTATTTACATTGTAACAACTATTCTGGGATTAACAGGCGGGTTGCTCACAGCCCTGCAGATCTGTACGCCATTTGTTATCGGATTTATTAGAAAGATGTGGCTGAGAAAAACACAAAGAGTGATGCCACAGGTTATCTCTAACGAACAATTAACATCATAAGGTTCAGAAGCTTACAGAAGTCCGTTTTTATTCTGTTTGAATCATAAATTCATTATCTATGAAAGTCTTAAAGTATTCTCGCTCATATATTACGACTCATCATCATATTATTCCTAATACTCGTTTTACTTTGAAAAATAGCTTTTGGTGTTGTACTCTTGTTAACTATCCCGTGAAAACTTCTTTTCATCATAACATTTATTCACGCCTTTTTATGTTGTATCAGTAACTATTTTTTTCAATAATGTAAACAAGAACAAGAGTACCTTTCGTCTCAGTATTTTTCTACATGATTGAAATTAGTATGAAATTTTGTTCTTTAGTCAAGGGGGAAAAAACAACACTACACTACACTACACTACAAGGGATTGTCCACTACCGCCCACCGCACAACCACTACAGCGCATTACGCATCCACTACAGCTAACTACAGCTCACTATGTAACCAAAGTGTGCAAAGTGTAGTGTAGTGAAGCGTTGTTTTTTCCCCCCTTGATTTTCTTGGATATATACGTTCACGTTTTTGTTACAGCTCATTTTTAAATCTTTTCTGTCTTAAAAGATAACAGGTAGTGTGGCCGAGCGGTAAGGCGCCAGTTTAAGGCATTGGTCTCTCCGGAGTCACGAGTTCGAATCTCGTCACTGTCACTTTGTTTTTATTTCAACCACTTTCCATCTTCAATCGTTTCTTTTAAAAAAGCGTGAAGTATTATAGCCATCATTCAGTTTTACTGCAAGACATGCAACACGTATTTTTTTTACTCTGCACTACACATCCACTGCAGCCCACCGCATAACCACTACAGTGCACTACACATCCACTGCAGCCCGCCGCACATCCACTACAGCCCACCACACAACCACTACAGCTAGCTACAGCCCACTATATAACCACTGGAGCCCACTACTCATCTACTACACATCCAATACGTCACCACTACAAAGTCACTACGACACCACTACCGTAGTGGAAAAAGTGTAGTGTACTGTAATGAAGTGTTGTTTTTTCCCCCTTGGCTTTAGTTCTTCACAGAAATGAAAACAAGTTCAATGAAGTTCTTGGTCTCTTCTGCATAGATCTTTGAGAAACGTTTTACTAAATTTTAAGCCACCATTCATCGATCTATGTGCAAGAGATTATGTTCATATCACCGATAGAGAAATAAAGTTTATTTAGAGCACTGTTCCCCAACTCTATGAATAATTTGGTACGCTGTAAGTCAGCACGAATTTCAGAAAAGTTTAATTATAATAATCAGAATCTAACCTTCTTCTCGTTTAACATTTCCAGCTACAGCTACTGATCCTTTCAGAATACAGGGAACTCCGATGCTTCTCGTTTAAGCTTTTACTTCATCGTACCTTCGAGTGCTGGGCACCCACTTTTGGTACAATTGATGATAGAAGAAAGAATAATACACTTTTTATGGTGAACTTAAAGAGTAGACAGAAAAATCAAGCTGAAAAGAAAATGAATAGCTAGCTATGCAACAATAACATTTTGCTCTTGTTACAAATAAATTATAATATGTAACACAAGCAGAAATGAAAAGAAAAAAAGAAGAGAGAAGCTGCTATGTTAGTATATCACCTAACAATGTATTCCAATGAATATTCAATATATTTAACAATATGATATCTGTTGACCACCTTTCGATGAATCTTATTTACTAAAGAGTCTTCCAGTAGATTGAGTAAATAGTCCAATGAACTCGGAAACTTCTCTAGAAGTGGTCCATTAGCAGTACGACCATAATCAAGAAACATTTTATTGCTGCCAGTTTCTATTTCCTTATCATCCATTCGTACAAACAGCTTTAGCGTTCCTTCCTTTCTACTAGCACATCATTTGCCTCTAGGTCGTCTCCACGAGTACTAATTTCACGCGCTCGTTAACTTTTTGTTGCGGTTTCGTGCTCGGATCTTGAACTGAACTGTTTTTACACCATAGATGTTCAGACATACGAGATGTGCCACTATTCGATTTCCACGTATACGCAAAGAGACATTTTTTACAAGAAATAAAACTATATCTTCGTTTACTGGTACCACTAGGACACTTCACACATAGGAAACCAAATACTTTCAAACCTCTGACTTTGCTACTATCGAATCATTGTCTGTTATTGCGTAGTTGTCTTTTTTGTGTATTAAAAGCCGTGTTATTTCCTCAGCGTTACAGACATGAGTTTGAGATATCAGATCGGACGTTGCCATTTTCTCAAACTGCAGTTTATTTAAGAAAGGTTGAATTTTGATCTAGAGTTAATTAAGCATGGACTGATGATAGCAGGACTGCTCCTAACTTTAGATTATCTTCTTGTACAGTGTATAACAAAGATAATAAAAAGCAAGTATTCAAAATTATATATAAGATAATTCTTCCACTACTATACAACTATTACACACAGGTAAGTATTTCATACGTGTCACTTCGCAGAGAGACCTTGCATAACGAAAACTCCTTTTCCTGTAGTTTAAATGATGAGAAATCTAGTCCACTAGTCGGTTCTGAGTTTTGAATTTTTCTTCGTACTGAAAAGTTTTTATTACTTTTCATCTTCATTTTTAAAGTTGCGCATAGTCTAAGTTCATTGTAATAAAAACGTACAAATAGGGTATAAAGAGAGATGTTATTTATACATGAAATCCGTACACATAAACGAACAACTGAAATAGTTTGGCTGACGGTAGTTAAAACAAAAGAAACATACGATAATACTAACAGAATGAAAGCGATTGGTAAAAGGGACTAGAGAATGAAACATAAGCTTATTTCATTTTTACTGTAATTCTTCGACTGACAAATCATTCTGGATATGTCTCTCATTCTTCTCGGGTCCTTCCTAGAATTTATTTTATTCTGTTGTTTCTTTTCCTTTTCTGTTAGTATTATCGTGTATGCCTTTTATTTTAACTACCGTGGGAAAATGTGTTAATAATTATATAAAAATCAATGTTGAACAAATGACATAGGCCCGCCCATATCACTACTACTTCTAATGAATTAGTTGTTTTAATAAGATGATCTGAACCTAAACCAATTTTGAAATAAATAATGGAATCGTAACATACTAATATAGACGGCCAAGGACTTCTCAAACCTTTTGGGTCCCTAATGTAAAAATTAAAAAAAGTGCGTGAGTGATTTCGCTACATGCAAGGTGTGACTTTTTAGTAGTGTAGTTAATATGAAAATTCGAATTAGCCTACTTGTTTTTAAGAACCAGACGACATAAAACTTCTTCAGGCTCCACAAAAATGTGGATATGACTACTTTGCATTTATTTATAGTTGTAGTACTACAGTCTAGAGGACGTCTGCTAAAATTCTTTAGGTCTATAGCGTAGACAAACAAATATGTCTTAATAGCTCTGGTACTGTCTACATAGTACTGTAGAACTTGCACTGTAGAAAAAAAATAAAAATATGAAGTAGAAAATAAAGTTTAAGAAACATTTCTTGGAAGATCGGGCGAAACTTGAGAATCTTTAAAGATTTATCAAGATCTGCATTTAAGA